ATCAACAAATGAAGACAGGCAAAAGAAAGGAATATTTTTTATAGTAACTGTGCCAAAGCCAAATGAATACTGCACGATACTCTTCCAGTTCCCTGGCACATCATCCCTAGAATCAGCATCTTTACTGAGTTGAGAGCAATTAGGTATACTTCTATGAAAATATATACTTGCTAAAAATAAACTATTGCTATTTTTATTTAGCAAATGAGCACAGGAAAAAAAATCCTTAGGTATACTAGCCTTGAGTTAGGACAGGTAGTTTATATAAAATATTATTCCGAATGCAAAGTGAGAAATTCAGCTAAACTTTCTGCAGCAATTCTTAGCTGTACCAGCTTTGCTTCCTTTTATTTTTATTTTTCGTGCTTGCTTTTCATTGGTTAGGCTAATATATCACAATTGAAATAGGACTAGCCAAAAAAACAGGCAACACTTTGATCTCCATATGTTAGTAAAGATTGTTGATACTTTGTTTTTTTATACTTGAGTTTGCTACTGTAATAACTCTTTTGACTTGCACACTAACTGATGTTCCCCAGAGGAGTAAATTACAGAACACTCGGGCTCTAAGCCCAGGTGCAAGCAGGTGTAAAACCCTTCATGGATATAAAAACCTGCATAACCAGCCTGTATTTGGCCTCTTTAGCGATGCAAGACTGTCGGATCTAAGCCTGACGACTAGGCTGGTGACTGTTAATCCTCACTGACATCCGAGAAAGGGACTGTTAGTCTGGGAATGTAAATAGCACCTCCAAATAATGCAGCACCTCTAAAGAACTGGATTTCAGTGCCAGAAATCTCAAGCAGCCCAGTTCTTCTTCTGGAAGCTTAGGACACTGATAGCCTTTTGGCCATCAGAATACTACCAACCGAATCATTGCCTAACAATGAGCACAGTCTAAAGTGAATATTTGTGTGATGCAAAGCCAAAAAGAAACACTGTCTGAGAGAGGAAAGTATGGGGTGAAGATCATCCCTAATATTTCTGTAACAGTGTATATGCAGTGCATATGCAGTGTGTGTGTATGTGTTGTTGTGGGGTTGCAGTTATTAATTACTGCCATAATAAATTATACAGAGTTCACATTTCAGAGTAGGTGGTTTGCTAAGCTGTTGGATGAATTCTCATATTTACCCCTTAATTGTAGTAAGAATACCTAAAGAGCAGGAGCTGTGAGAATCCTTAACTTTTATAAACCAAGCCTATAAACTGAACCGATAAACTGAATCTACAAAACAGGTTTGGCTTTCAGCAGTCAAATTTCCCAGCAAGCATAAAACTTGAGTTTATGTGTGTACCATGTGCTTATTTCATGTATTTTGCAGAGTGAAAATATAAATAGAAGTGCTGCTCTAAAGAGGGCACCAATTTGAAGGCTACATGAGTGGCATTAAAACAGAGGTCCTGTTCACAACGGCTGGCTCCCTACACCCTCTACTACCAACTTCTCCATCAAAGAGCTTTATTAGAAAATGTCAATATCTGCCCTTTTCAAATGACTCTCAGTACTTACACCTACAATTACACAAACTGCTTGTTGTGTTACACAACACTGAGCAGCAGAATAAATCACTGATATTAAGAATGTATATTACAGAACAGCACATACTAGTTGTATTTAGAGGTCTACAGAGGTAGTGTCCAAGCAGACTTCAAAAGGTTTCCACTTACAACTGCCTGGAGAATACAAGAGCTAAACACATATTACTTTGTTGCTACCATGTAAAACAAGCAGCAAAAAAGCAGAACAACTCTTCCAGGATCCAGTGCTCTGGGGAAACCTGCTGCCTGGAAAGCAACTGCAAAATCCCACAATGTCACAAAATACTTCAGATATGAAAATTATGTATATCAAATAACCTAAGGGGCCACCGCAAATTTTTCTGCAACTCATTTTACCAGTATTTTTGTCTTAAATGTACAGATCTAAGCAATAGGGCCTTTTAACTTGGACAAAACTTCTTCTACTTGATCTCTCCTTGGCAGCATGTTTTTCCTGTTCTAACCCCATTTTCCAATTCTCAGTCTCGTGCCATTACTCCTAGAATAGTTCTTTGCCCTTGTAGTACCCTAAGTAATTCATACTCCTCCTTAATATTTACAATTTACAAGTATTTTTAGACTTCCTTCTGCTAGGCATCTCTCAGTCAAACTAATATATGCATGTTTGCCCTCTTTTCTTAAATAGCAACCAAACATGCCTGTTGTTTGTTTGTTTTTCTTCTGTTTTTTTCTTTTATTTTTTTGCTTTTCCTCTAACTTGGCAACCTCTCAATAAGGTGTCTGTAACCCTGGCGTGCTGAAAGTTCAAAGTAAGTGGGAGAGGGGGAACAGAAGTTAACAGATGTGGTTTTGTTTCATCAGAAGCTGCAGTAAGGCTGTTGCTGAATAAAGCCCCCCAGTGTTTTAAGTGACTGGGAGTTAACCTGATCATCAGTTCTGTTTAGACTTACTTCACGGCTGAATAAGGGCTGCTACCATGAAATTTGACAAAAGTTTGTATTCTGCCCTCAAACTTTTTAGTTGGAAGACTAATCATGATGTTGGGTCTGGATGCAGCACTGGCTTGGTAAGTGAGGTAGCTCTCCCACAAGGAAAATGTAGACAATTCCACTTACTTGATTTATGAAGCTTACAAGAATCTCTGTATGATCCTTGGAGGAAAGCTAACTTTAAAATATTTTTACAGCTGCGAAGAATGGATAGATGCTTATGACAAGCAAACAAAATGCACTGTGAAACAACAGCAGTGTTGTGTCCCAGTGCTAAAGAAGATTGAAAGGTTTGCTTCTCTTTGCACACTGTTTCTGAAGATGATGACTATATTTGCTTTTAAAAAACAAAAACACTTGAATTGCCTTCATTACACATATTTCATTATTAAAAAGCATCTTAGAATATGTTAAATATAACAATTTGTATATAAAACCAAGCTGTAGCTTAGAATAGTTACAATCTATTGTGTACCTTGACTTACCACATAATCTCATTATTACCTTTGCCAACTACAAAAAAAAAAAAAAAAAGTGTAAAGGATACACAAGTAACTTTATTGTTGCCACTTGTCATTTTCAATTTTAATAGCAGTATTAAAATATGAACTGGAAGAAGAAAAATCTAGTCAGAGGATGATAGCAGAAAAGAGGCACTAATTTCAGGTTTTACTCCTACTAAAATAGGAACTATCACCATAAAATTTTTCTCTTTCGCTCATGCCTTAAAGAAAAGTTAGAGAGCTGCTTCTGTGAGATAACTGGAAGAAAGTGAGTTTTTAAAAAGCCACAGGGGTTTAAACTAAGTTAAACCACAAAATATTAGTGATACAAAGCCAGCTATCAGAGTAAATCAGAAAGTCCTGTCCTAATAAGAGCATGAAGGAAGTCCATTGAGGTGACCAGAACTGAAGAAAATCTAATAGCTGTTCTATATAGCGGTATGTGCTGACCATTGTCCTTTTTTTAATTCTGCAATATTTAACATCTGGCTATTGCTGTAACTGTACCTCCAAGAATTGCTAGAATCACTGGAGAGTTTGGTTTCCTCATCTAATCAGCTTCTGGACTTCAGAGTGAAAGGAAAATGAAATATTAACCGTTACCAATTTAAAAGGTGCAATGGTCTATTATTAATTGGGAGGGAGGTCCAGTTCTGGACAGAACATTAAAAAGACAGCAGGTAGAAGCTGATTTTCTAGTTACTACCAATATGTGCGAGTTAAAAACTTCAGATCAAATGTGTAAGTTTGAGAGTTCATTTAAATGGTCATAAGATCAGAAAAATATGCATGTGAATTTACTACATCCTGTCGTAATACTTCTCAGTAAAATACAGATTACTATCCAAAGATGCACGTGCTTCTCCAGTGTAATCTGATAAATGGAGATAAGCGTTCATGTCAGTCATAAACAAATTTCACTTGCACCAACCACAGAAAAAGGGAATTTGAAAAGTACTAGTGTACAGATTTGTGCAGGTGGACAGAAAACAACTTGATCCAAGGAAGATGAAAAATTCATCTGACAGAAGTGAGATGCATTAAAAGAGATAGTTTAAAAACTCAAAAACCAGTAGCCAGAAGGCTGTGCTGTCACAAGGCATTCAGTGACACAGACTTAGGGCAACCTAGCACTGCCCTCTGCTTTTCACTGTGGTTCCTTACTTACCAAAACATCTCTATCACCAAAAATACAGAATTTTCTTTACATGCAGATTTATTTTCTTACAAGTCCTGTGGATAATGATATTACTTTGATACAAAAATGTGGAACCATTTGATGCATCCAGCTCATCACCTCTTGTCTTGCCAACAAAGGCCCTAAAGCATGCATTTAAGATGAGAATTTCTAATGAGAGTATTGACAGATAGTGAAGTGTAGCAAATGAATCTGGTTTTGCAAGACTCAGGCAAATAATAGTCCTCGTTGTTTAAAATGTTCAAACAACTATGTTTCCTGAGGTGATGGGAATTTATTTCCCTCCCTTCTTCCGCTCCCCAAATGATATTTCACAAACAATTCTCCATCACTGCACTAGGTTGAAAAGCAAATAGGACCATACAGTGTTCCTCTGCCTACCTATTACAGACAATTTGGGGTTTATTTTCCAGTTTTAAAATTCTGTAAAGCAATTTTTCTATAAAAATCAAAAGCACAGATAGGACATCTAGGAAGCAGTGGTTTATTAGCACTCACTGGAAAGAGCTATGTAACTTCCTTTGCCATTTCAGTACAATATTTACATCTGACAGACAAATTCAATAATCGGAAAAAGCACCTTGGCTAATCACAGCATTGAAACTCTCCTTCAAATTAATAATATACTATTGCTGAGTTAAATTAAAAAACAAAAAAAAAAGCTGACTGTTTGCACCTAATGGTTTTGTGTATTTTAAAACATTCAGAAATTTGGCTAAGCCAATCTATGAACTACAACATTTTCTTCCGAATGACGAATCCCAAGTATTTGTTTAATTTTCAAAAGGAAATATGTTTTCACTTACATGATTTCTTTTGTTTTCTCCATCTTTTATAGATGTAATAACCGTCTCAGAGTAAATTGTTGATCCAGTTTTGTTATCTGTAACCTGATGTGGCAAAAGAGGAACAATAAATCAAACCAGGATACCGTATTAGTCCTTTGTTACTCTCAGTCCTATGTTCTTTAATAGTTAATCCCTCCCTTCCCTCTGCCCCATTTTCCTGGCAGTCAGATAAAACTATAATTGGGGGGCGGGGAGAATGACAAGGCTACCTCCTTATCTATTTCATATGTCATTGTAATGAAGCTAACTGAGCAGGAGATGATCATTCTTTTATGGTCCATATAATTGCAAGAGCTGTGCTCCATTTTCAGCAGCCCTTTCTCTTCAAAGCATACAGTATTGGCAGCAGTTAAACAAAATAAATTATTATTTCACATTAACTTTTTGCCACATATGGCCCTACACAGTGAGTAGGCTAGCAAATCAGATACAACCAAACCCCAAAGTAATCATCATTAAGGAAAGTTAACACTCAGATTCTAGTACTTTTCCCCAAAACACGCAGAATTGTTTATACTTTTGAATAAAAGGTTGTGTAAGAACCAGCAGCCTTCTGTGCATGTTTTCTCATACCTTATCAATTTCTTGGTGAGTCTGAACAGTCTTATTACCAATTCTGGTTTCTGTGTTGGACTCATTATGGTAGGTGGAAGGTAAGTTTTCAAAGTTTACTTCGGATAGTTTTTTTGACCCTTCTTCTTCAGCTTCCATCTGGCAAATTTAAATAAACCAATTGAAAATCAGGAATGACTACATGCAACAGAGCAAGTAACACTTCTCATCCTGCCCTTACTAATACCCTGTTTAATTAGGTGATGTTATTAGTACAGATCCCCGCTGTATGGGAACACTTACTCAGCTCTTTCAGAGAGTGACCATGGCAGCTTTTAGTGGACTAGAGACACACTGAAGAGGTAAACCCTTGAGCTCTGGACTATTTAGGTAACAAGCTCGTCCGTTTAGGTATCAAGCTCGTCAGTTCCTGTGAGGAAAAAGCATGCCGAGACTAGTGACTATTTGGAATCTACACAGGCATCTGGATCAGTCAGGAGCCCAGCTTTCTCTTTCCCAGAAAAACACTAAACACTTAGGACAGACTTTCCCATCCGACAACACGGAGAAAATATTCAGGCAGGACAAAGAGCCACAGCCAAAGCCCCTTGAAGTTAACAGAAGGGGTCCTATTAGATCAGGGCGCACACATCCAGAACGTCATTCTCCATCTCATTTCCCATTGTCTCTGCACACCAGATGAACACTTAACACAGAAAAGAAGGTCACGAGAGTGCTCTCTGAATTAGAAAACAGAGTAAGCGCAACAAAAGGGTATGAGTCCTGTAAACAATATAAACTCTGAGTAAGTTTTGTCATTTTTATTATTTGCAATCTCTGTAACAGAGCTAGGAGGCCACAAGAACAGCCAGGCTGAACAACAGAATTTTTCCCAGGACAAAAATCTCTTCCCTTTGGTGTGTCTGCTTGCTTTAAATGACAACTGCAAACCTTTTTAAGTATAAAGCATTAATCTGCTATCATGCAGCTGAGACACGCCACATTTTGTGCTGTGTATAGACCAGTCCTCTATCCAGAATAAACACTGACTATAGGAACAGTAAAATCAGCAGAAATTTTAACTACAATCTTATTTATGATTGAGCATATTTTTGGCATTGTAAAGCATACTTTAAAAAAAATGGTTTGTCTCCATGTGCTTACAGTCTAAACGAAATGGAGGACAGAGGTAGAATACAGTAATTGTCCAGATGTCAAAAAAAGTTCAGAAACAACCTAATTAAAATAAGCAAAGCTTGGTTTCCCTAGTGGATCATCAGTAAAACGTTTCTGGGGTTTTGTTTTGTTTCTTGAGAGAGACAGACAGACAGATAGAATTAAAAGGAAGATTTTTAACCAGAAGGAAGAAGAAGCCCATAAATAAGAGAAATTGGGGGATAAGGCCTTTTGACTGAGATATGAGACAACGCCTCAGGGTCTAGATGCAGCTCCTGGCTTTGAAACAGGTCCTGTGTGATTTTGGGCAAGTAACTTGAGATTGAGAAACGAATTATACCCAAAGTAAGCTATTTCTCCACATGCGTTATCAGGACCACTTTACCTCTCTAAATCCATTTTTGGGATGATCTCTTGGGTCTTAGTTCCTAACGGAATAGCGATATTAAAGTAACTCTTCAGTCCTCCCCTTGCCACATACTTTGCCTTAGTTCAAAATCCCTGGCCGTCTGCCTGCCTGCGCAGGAGGGTCTGCTTCTAACGCTCCCTCCAGCGCCACCACACGCCTCTCCCAAAGACAGCGGAGCTCTGTGCAAGAGCCACCAGACACACAACACCAGAAATGAGCAGGGGCTGCCTGGAAGATGCGGGAAGGAGGGTAACAAAACCTGAAAGCGAGAAAGCCGGTGCCAGCAGCAGAGACGCGCCCATCTGCGCGGCAGCGGGCGGGC